CCCTTAATATTAGCATTTAAAAGTTGGAATTTTTAGCAGAAAATCAAGAAAACTGAAAGCCCCGCACTTCAAATCAGTTTTCCCGACTGACAAGGCCCTGGAAAAGCGGAAAATTCGAGAAAAACTGAATAAAAACACTCAAAATAGCCTACTGTCAAAAGTGAAAAATGACATTCATTACAAAAGGCATACTTGATTGAAAGCGATGTTGCCAAAATTACAATCTCAAACCGAATGTTTTTCCAGATTTTTCCTCAATTTGCAGCCTGGAAAAGTAGCAAATTTTCATTTTCAATATTAATTTTATTGTATTTTTGGAAAAAAACAGTGATTATAATGGGTAAGACAAAGAATAAGGAGATAAAGTAGGATATCTACATTTGCAAAAGCACCAAATGCGATTATGAATGAGTAAGACAAAGAGAGAGATAAGGTAGGACATAATTTAAGTTCCTAATCTGGTAGAAAAAGACGCAAATTCAAAGCCCCGCACTTAGACCACTTTTTTCCAATTGAAAAGGCCTCGGAAAAGCGGAAAATCCAAAGAAAAACCAACGAAAATGGCATTCCAAAGCCTGCTTGACAAAACTAACGTGTTCGTTACTCTATACTTACCCCACTGAAAAGCGGAAATTTTTGTTAAAATGGTAAATAAATTTTGGTTTTGGGCGTGATCCAACTGACGTGAAAGAGTATTATAGTAACTAGGTAGGGAGGAAAAATTTCTTTCAAACAAATATAGGTAAGTATTTACCAAGGTAGGTACACTATAAATTTAAATTCAGAATTTTATTTGCATTATTTCCAACTATGCGAAACAAAGGTAAGTTTATAAGGTCAACGTCAAATATCTGTTAAAGACGGTTTTAAATCCAAAAACATAAATATGGAAAATCCTTTAATAAAGGTATAGAATAGCAGTAAAAAATTTAGTCTTGGGCTTGGATTAGATTGCTAATTCGGTCTGTGATTTCACAAGAATTTTTTTACCAGGTAAAATTTTGTAAAACTACGTAAATGGATTGCAAGGATGATACACACCTACAAGGATTGCTTATCGGCCTCGTTTTTGGTAATTGCCACCATATTGGTGTGTCACCATCTCTGACGTCATAACTAAATCGTCAGCGTTTAAACAGCCTACATCAAGACGAGAAATAACATGCTGCCTACGTCACAACTGGTACTTTGGCGTGGTGGAGAAGGGGGATCTGTTACACACAGGCCTTATGAGGATAGGCCATCCAGTAATAGTAGTAGTGTGTATTATCCTTGACAAGATTTCCTGTTGATTTTACCAGATCTATGTAGTAAAAAAGTACCAAGATGGCGACACTGAAAGTGACAGATGATATTGAAATAAGCGACGTTGCCACATCTCAAATAGAAAAAAAATAATGGTTTTCTGCTTCAAATTTATTAAAAAGCTGTTAAATAATTAAATAATAACTTGCTTTTAGTTTAATTTAAAAAAAATGACATTCCAAGGCCTACTTGGGTAAAGTTCGAGTAGACGCTCGGAGCTGCTGTATTGTTTTTTTATTCTTGTTTCTCTTATCGAAAGGAAAAAAGATGGAAGATGCTCCGAGTGCTCAGTGTCAAGACGAACTCACGGTTGATAGTCATTACTTGATAATGAGTAACACAAAGAAGAAGATAAGGTAGGATAAAATTGCTAAACACAGCCAAAATGGTATGAAATCTATAGGTCTGTTTCTGCAGGAGTCACAAACCAGTCAGAGTGAATTTCATTAGTTGAAACTAGTTTTCTGACTGTTTTCAACCAATGAAGTTTCTGCAGAAACAGACCTATTATTTCAAGAACTAAAGTGACAAATGACGTTTATTACCAAAGGCCTATTTGGTTGAAAGCGATGTTGCCACAATTACAAACTCAAACCGGATGTTTTTCCAGATTTTTTCTCACTTTCCGATGGATTGGCAGCTTGGAAAAGTAACAGATTTCCATTTTCAATGTTATAATTTGATTGTATTTTTGGAAAAAACAGTGGTTATAGTGAGTCAAACAAACAAGGAGATAAAATAGGATGCATTTGCAAAAGCAGTAAATGCTAATATGAATTAGTAAGACAGAGAGAGAGATGAACTAGGATATATTTTAAGTGCTTAATGTGTCTAAAAATGGCAGAAAAAGACGCAAACTCAAAGCCCCGCACTTCCGATTGAAAAGACCTTGGAAAAGCGGAAAATCCAAAGAAAAATCAACGATAATTACATTTTAAAACCTACTTGATAAAACTAAAGTTTTCGTTACTTACCCCATTTGAAAACTGGAAATTTTTGGAAGAAAATGACGCAAATCCAAAGTCCCGCACTTTGAAACCACTTTTACCCCAGAAAATTGGAAAATTCGAGAAACAATCGGGACAAAAACGAAAACGCATAACTCTAATTGGCCGTCTGTCAAATGTCACTGTCAGGCTTTATAAATTACATTCCAAGGCCGACTCGATTGAAACCTGAATGAAGTTGGTTACAAGCGATGTTGTCACCTAAAAAAAAAATCATTTTGAATGGGTAATTTAGTGAAAAAGTCGTTAAATAATTAATTAATAATGATTTTGAAACTTAAAATTCCCTTCGAAAAGTTGTTCTTTAATTTTGTGTCACCCTTCGCTGGAATTTTTGGCAGAAACTGAAGAAAATCTAAAGCCCCGCACTTTCCGACTGAAAAAACCCTGGAAAAGCGGAAAATTCGAGAAAAACTGGACAGAAACACATAATAGCCGACTGACAAAAATGGCAAATGACATTTATTACAAAAGGCCTACTTGATTGAAAGCGGTGTTGCCACAATTACAATCTCAAACCGAATGCTTTTACAGATTTTTCCTTATTTTCCGATGAATTTGTATTAGCTTCATTCTCAGATGCGCGAAATTCGCTGTTTTTTGACGTTGCTTCGACAATTTGACGTTTAATATACGCATAAAACGTCAAATTTTCGAAGTAATGTCAAAAAAAGAGTGAATTTCGCGCAACTGAGAATGGGGCTTTAGAACTACCTTTTCCCGATTAAAAGGGCCCTAAAAAAACGGAAAATCTTAAGGTTCCTAAAGAAGGTTGTCTGGTAATGAGCAACTTAATGACGTCATCTGGGGTGCCTTATGAAGATTTGCATTATGTTGATGCACCCCAGATGACGTCATAAAATTTATCAGGCAACCTACACCTCTCTCCAACAACCTTGCCCTTTCCAGAATCTTGACAGTGTAGTCCTTAGTATTGGCTATCACAAGATTCATAGGTTTTCAGTAACGATTCTTCAGAATCTTCACTATTCTTCTCAATAAGTATTCAGAACCTTGGATCACTTTTCAGAACCCATTCAGGTTTCCAGGATTTCAAGTTTTGACTTTTCAAAATTCCCGAAATTAAATGATGATCCTTTCAGTCATGATCCATAATTATTTGAAGTCTTTTTTGGTCTCAGAATCTGTAGTATTGAGTCCTGAATTTCTGTATTTAGTCACGGTTCATTAGGATCTTCTTCGAATATTGACATTTGAGAGTCATGAGCTCATAAGTCTTTAATCTTTGTTGTTTCCAGAAACTTCTGGATTGTAAATAAGTCCTCAGAATTTGACTGAATTTGACTCTTCACAGGTTTCAGGATTGTTCATATAAGTCTCAAGAGTCTATTTTTGCTTTCAGAATCTTGATTATGGAATCGTTAGTATTTATTTTTGACTGTTCGATGTTTCCAGTACGTATCGAATCATGGTTCTTTGAGATCTTGAGAGTTATCTATCAGAATCTTGACTGTAGAGTATTCAGTATTCTCGTCGAGATATTGGGTTTTAACTTTATAGAATTTTCAGGATTAATAATTCATAATTCTTCAAAGATTTCTTGAGCTCTCCCATGGTCTTTGTTGCTCTCAGTATTTTGACTTAGAGTCTCCAGGATTTTGTGTCTTCTCAGAGTTTTCCGGGGATTGATTCATGATTCTTTAGTCTTCAGTGTTAACTTGTGTATCATGAGTCCATAATAGAATTTTTGTCTGTTCCAGAATCTTGACAGTAGAGTCCTTAGGATTTCCTTTTCCAGGATTCATAATAGGTTCCAGTTTTGACTACCTAATGATTCTTCAGAATCTTCAAAATAGGTATTTGGAGTATTGAATCGCTTTGAGAATCTTGACTTAAGAATTTATAGCATTTGAATTTCCAGGATTTCAAGTCTTTTGACTTGTCAAAATTTTCGGGATTGATGATGAATTCTTATAATCTTTAGTGTTGATTTCTGAATCATGATCCCACATTTTTTAAGTCGTTGTTGCTCTGTATAGAATCCGTAGTATTGAGTCATGATTCTTCAGAGTTCTATAGAGTTTAGTCCGAAATCCCTAGTAGGTACCTACATATATATTCCAAGATTTTGACTCTTGAGCAAGTCACTTTCGCTCTTATCAATATAAATCAAAAACTGAATACGAAGAACGTTGAAATACTAAAATTTCAATAACGTATCTTCCATTCGAAATTTGCAGGAATTCCACAGTTGATTGTAGGTACTTATTTTCACTATCCATCTAAATGATTCTTTTTTAGGTGCTGATGGTGACCCATGTTTCGAGGTGATGAGCGAACACGAAAACGACAGAAGCATAGAAAACATATAACTGTCTCTCTTAAAAAATCTTCCATGAAAAATTTTTAAGGGTGGAAAGTACCTAATTTGTGAAAAATGCATAAGTATAAGCATTTTCACTCAAAGAGAAAAATAATTTTCTAGTTAAGTACCAAAAGATTGGCAAAGAAAAAGTAGTTTTTCTTTAAATCAAAAATCTACAAATCTATAAAAATGTACCTTTGGTACAGTTTGATTTTTCAAAAATTATTACACAAAAAACGTTATAATTGGTACAAAAAACTCCAGACTCTGGCCATTCACCGATGCAAATCAACCCCTCGCGTGCATCACACGCGTTCCCACGTTCTCGGCACACAGATTGCACCCCCTTTAGGTGACGTCACGGAGCACGTAGAGCCCAACTCTGAGTTCCCACGGTTCTACGTTCCGGCAAAGTGCACCTGGCTTTTTCGGCCCCCGTATAAAACCAACATTGCCGATGGCGAACACATCATTCCGAGTCGAGCAGCCAGCATAGTCAGAGCGTTCACTTAGTTAAAAAGTTCCCGTCAGTAGTGTTTCGAGTTTTACGTGTTTTTTTTTTTTTAAATTTTTTGAAAAAAAATTATTATGTCGAGTGTGAGTGTATACGAATACCAGCCAACAATGCATCAATCTTATGACGCAAAACCTATGTCAAAGACCATGCAGTACCGTAAGGTAATGAAGCCTTTATTGGAAAGAAAACGGCGTGCCAGAATCAATAGGTGCCTTGACGAACTTAAGGATCTTATGATCTCAGCCTTGGCCATGGACGAAGAAAACGTGACCAAACTTGAAAAAGCCGATATTTTGGAAATTACCGTGGCCCATCTACAAAAACTCAAGCGTCAAAAACAACTCGCTTCTAATCCAATTTTGGAAGCCGACCGATTCCGTTCCGGATACACCACTTGTGCCAAAGAAGTTTCCAGAGTACTCGCTTCAGTACCTGGTGTTGATATTCATTTGGGTACCAAATTGATGACGCATCTTGGATACCAGCTAAACGAAATCGATGCTCCTAGAGTTGATCATCAAACACCTTTGGTGGTCAATGTTGGACCTTCCAGTGATTCTAGCATAGAGTCCTATCAGCATAAAGAGTATCAAATGCCTATGACGCCGCCTTCTTCTAGAGGTTCACCTTCTCCAATTAATGTTACAGATAGTGAAAATGAAAAAGTTTGGAGACCTTGGTAAATTTTTAAATTTTTCTTTGATAAAAATGTTTTAACAAAGCTTTAATTAATTTTTTGTAAAAATCTTAATGTCTTCCCAAAAAAAATGTCTTTGTTTATTAATTGTTTTCTAATAATTATTTCATTTTTCCAAGGCTTTAATTGTATAAAATAACTGTTAAATCTGTGATAATAATTTTGTAAGTTTAAAAACTTGTATATCTTTGTACTGGTACAAATTTACATAGATCTGTGATATGATTTTTAGATTTAGAATATTCAATTTAATAAAATATGAATTTGAATTTACTTATTTGTGTTTGAATTTTTCTTCTTTTCAGCAGGTATAAAATAGAAAAACTTGAAAAAACAATACTTTTCTGAATGTATAGTTCAAACTTTTCAACTCTGACCAAAATTTCATTTCTCCTTATTTAAAACTCTTTTCCGAAATAGAAGAAAAAGGCGTTATATATAAAAGTTTTCTTAATTAAACTCATTAAAGGTGGCCAAAGGTAAAATAAATTAAAAGTGAATTTATTAGAATGAATTCAGTCCGACAATTCCACTAATTTTCATTCAATTCCGTAGAATTTCATACTTCATTCTTTTCAAATTTCACTATAATTCAAGTAGGTAATATATGGAAACATAAAAGTGACATATTTTTATTTTTTACCAAATTATTTCGCAATATTATATCTATTTTTCGAAAACAAGATGCATTTTACTTTGGACGAGAGCGTATCGATACAAATTTGTGATATCGATATAAGGGACATTCATATTTTTTCTATTCCAGGCTCTTGAATTTCATTTCTTGGTTCTTAATTGTTTTTGAATTATGATGAAATTAAGAAAAATTTGTCAATATTTCCATTAAAATTTGAACAAATCAAAATAAATTATACACTATTAGAAAGAGCATTAAATTCTCTATAAATCTGTGCTTAATTGAGTTTAATAGCTCAAATACTTTTTGAGCAATTGACCCTCAAAGTTGAATTTTAGTCCAAATTTAGTCAAAAACATCAAACTCAATTATCTCAAAAACTATAGACTTAAAAATATTTTCCAATACAGGTTTTTTTAGATCTTAATAGGAGCTACAAATCCTGAAAATTTTGATTCAAAATCTCTCACGCAGTTCAAGATATTGAAGCTCAAAAATCTTGAAATAAGAATCCAAAGAGAAGTATAACCTAGCTACTTTGAAAAAAATGGAAATTTTAATTTTTTATATTTTTCGAATTTTCACTTTTTCAATGGATTTAGTGGGTCTAAATTAGTGGGAAAAAAACCCTAACATCATTTCTAAATAAACAATTTGAAGAGAAAAAAAATCCATAAGAAAATTTCATTTTTTGAACCTGTTCTTTTTTTTTTGAATCATGACAAGGTTAAGAAAAATTGCCAATATTTCCATTGAAAATTAAACATATCAAAATAGATAATACACTATCAGAAAGAGCATTAAATTCTCTATAAATCCATGCTAAATTGAGTTCAATAGCTCAAATACTTTTTGAGCAATTGACCCTCAAACTTGAATTTTAGTCCAAATTTAGTCAAAAATATCAAACTAAATTTTCTCAAAAACCATAGACTCGAAAATATTTTCCAATACAGGTTTTTTATATCTTAATAGGAGCTACAAGTCCTGAAAATTTTGATTCAAAATCTCTCACGCATTTCAAGATATTGAAGCTCAAAAATCTTGAAATAAGAATCCAAAGAGCCTACTCTCCCTGCTCTGAAAGAAATCGAAATTTTTATTTTTTATTTTTTCCGAATTTGAACTATTTCAATGGATAGAGCGGGTCTAAATTAGTGGAAACAAACCCTAACATCATTTCCAAATGACCAATTTGAAAAGAAAAAAAATCCATAGGAAAATTTCATTTTCTGAACCTATTTTTTTTTTTTTGAATCATGACAAGGTTAAGAAAAATTGCCAATATTTACATTAAAATTTAAACAAACCAAAATACATTATACACTATCAGAAAGAGCATTAAATTCTCTATAAATCAGTGCTAAATTGTGTTCGATAGCTTAAATACTTTTTGAGCAATTGATCCTCAAACTTGAATTTTAGTCCAAATTTAGTCAAAAATATCAAACTCAATTTTCTCAAAAACCATAGACTTGAAAATATTTTCCAATACAGGTTTTTTATATCTTAATAGGAGCTACAAATCCTGAAAATTTTGATTCAATATCTCTTTTTCATTTCAAGACATACAAGCTCAAAAATCTTGAAATAAGAATCCAAAGAGAGTAGGTACAGTTAGTCAGGTTAGTATCGTAATTAAACAATAATATTGATGAATAGATGGCTGCAGAGGTCCACGCATAAGTTCCGCAATGATTCACTCATTTCTACTGGAATAACTTATAACATTATGTTACTAGTTTGGTAAAGTAGCATTAGGTACGTATTCCTGTTGAAAGGCAAATTGACAAAAAGTGAATAATCTTACAAACTTTGACTTTATACATATAATAAGCTATTGTTCAAGTACAAATAAGTGGATTATTGCGCAACTTATGAGTGGATGAGTTCCGCAGCCATCTATTCATCAAATATGTTGTTTAATTACGATACTAACCTGACTCATCCAAATGTGAGTTATTCTCATCAGTTTAAAAACTACACGTTTCAGGTGAATGTCTTACTTGAACATTTCAACAGTATATTGGTTAGTTGATGGCTGCGGAACGAGCGCAGCGAGTTCCGCAGAGGTCCACCTATAAGTTCCGCAACAATCCACTTATTTGTACTTGAACAATAACTTATTATATAAAGTCAGAATTTGTAAGATTATCCACTTTTTGTCAATTTGCTTTTCAACAGGAATAAGTAATGTTACTTTACCAAGCTAGTAATATATTGTGACAAGTTATTCAAGTACAAACTAGTGGATTGTTGCGAAACTTATGGATGGACCCAGCCATCTATGCAATAATCCACTTATTTGTACTTGAACAATAGCTTATTATATGTATAAAGTCAAAGTTTGTAAGATTATTCACTTTTTGTCAATTTGCCTTTCAACAGGAATATGTACCTAATGTTACTTTACCAAACTAGTAACATAATGTTATAAGTTATTCCAGTAGAAATGAGTGAATCATTGCGGAACTTATGCGTGGACCTCTGCAGCCATCTATTCATCAATATTATTGTTTAATTACGATACTAACCTGACTAACTGTACCTACTCTCTTTGGATTCTTATTTCAAGATTTTTGAGCTTGTATGTCTTGAAATGAAAAAGAGATATTGAATCAAAATTTTCAGGATTTGTAGCTCCTATTGATATAAAAAACCTGTATTGGAAAATATTTTCGAGTCTATGGTTTTCTACTCACCAATATACTGTTGAACTGTTCAAATAAGATACTCACCTGAAACGTGTTCTTTTTCAACTAATGAGAAAAATTCACTACTGAGTGAATCAGGTTAGTATTGTAGGTACTTGAACAACATATTAGGTAATTTAAACCACGTGACATTCAAGATGGCGTGGCGGCCACATATGGGCCAAAAAACACACAAAAATATCTAGTTTCTGCCCGATTTAATAATTTAGGTACCCAGTCAACAAATATTTCATTAAATAATCAAAATCAAAGTTGCAAACAAAGCTCTAAGCAAAATAATTTGAAATACGTATAAAAACATATTCTAAACAAATTTGCATGGCCGCCACGCCATATTGAATTTTTCCATTTTGACAGATGGATTAAATTGCCTAATTGGTGAATAGATGGCTGGGTCCATCCATAAGTTTCGCAACAATCCACTAGTTTGTACTTGAATAACTTGTCACAATATATTACTAGCTTGGTAAAGTAACATTACTTATTCCTGTTGAAAAGCAAATTGACAAAAAGTGGATAATCTTACAAATTCTGACTTTATATAATAAGTTATTGTTCAAGTACAAATAAGTGGATTGTTGCGGAACTTATAGGTGGACCTCTGCGGAACGAGCGCAGCGAGTTCCGCAGCCATCAACTAACCAATATACTGTTAAACTGTTCAAGTAAGACATTCACCTGAAACGTGTAGTTTTTAAACTGATGAGAATAACTCACATTTGGATGAGTCAGGTTAGTATCGTAATTGAACAACATATTTGATGAATAGATGGCTGCGGAACAGTCCACCCATAAGTTCCGCAATAATTCACTCATTTGTACTGGAATAACTTGTCACATTATGTTACTAGTAACATTACTTATTCCTGTTGAAAGGCAAATTGACAAAAAGCGAATAATCCTATAAATTTTGACTTTATATAATAAGTTATTGTTCAAGTACAAATAAGTGGATTATTGCAGAACTTATGGGTGGACCTCTGTGGGACGAGCGCAGCGAGTTCCGTAGCCATCGCCATCTACAATATACTGTTGAACGATTTAAATAAGACACTCACCTGAAACGTTTAGTTTTTGAACTAATGAGAAAAATTCACAACTAAGTGAATCAGGTTAGTACCTATTGTAGGTACTTGAACAACATATTGGTGAATATAGATGGCTGGGTTCACCCATAAGTTCCGCAACAATCCACTCGTTTGTACTTGAATAACTTGTCACAATATATTACTACATAAGAAAATATCGATATTTTCTCACATTAATATTTATATGAAAAAGAAGCATAAGAGAATTTGAAAACATTTCGTATTGATACCAATAAAAATCGATAAATCTTTCTCTATTTCACGATTTTACTTGAATAAAGTAGAAATTTGCATCATTTTTGATATCATGACGAAGGCGCAACTTAACAAAATGTTTCTGAAAGCGTGATATGTACCTTCACCAAAATGCTCAGAAAAATTATGTTTTTCTTGCTTCAATAAATATGATGAGCATGGAGCAACCTACACCTGAGATGAATAAAACTCGATTTGCATTTACAATATTTTATTTGGCCCATCAGATTGAAAACAATTTTGCAATTTTTGGTATTACAAATCTGAAAATATTGAATTCAAAAGATGCTCTATGACCAGCACTCGTGTCAGTCTCCAGTAATTTCAAATTCAAATTAATCACAGCTTTAGTAAAAGCGTCCCTACCCAAATCAACAAAATCTCCTATAATAACGTTAACACCGTTTTTACCAGCAGGAGTTTGATTTGAAATCCACTGAGACCTTGTTGATTGGAATTCAATTGCACATTTTTGTTTTAAACTAGCTAAAAATAAATAATCAATATTCTAGCATAAGATTTTTCTAACATCTTTACTTAAAAGATTCAACAAAATATTATCAGCATTTGGTGTTAAAATCAACTGACTTATATAACCAGTGTTAGATGTTCGGGATGCAAGCCCTTCCTCCAAGCTGGAAATTAAATATTTAGAATTCATTGTATTGTACCAGGGTGTAGGAAAGCTCTCATCTGGCCATAATAAAGCTTGATGGTCATTTTGATTTGAGTTTCTGTAAACTAATAAAACCTAAAACCACTATATTATTTAATATCTACAAACAAAACTGTTTAATACCTACTTGTTTTCTTTGGTTTGTCAAATTAGCCAAAGTTAGGAAATCCATGTTTGATTGGTAAGGTATTAATTTTTCTCCAAAAGTATCGTAGAAATAATGGATGAGTTCTAAATGGATGGTGTCAGTGAAATTATAAAAATGTTGGCAGTCTAATATAACAACCTGCAAACATTAATGATTATTTATTTAAAAATTAATTTTTAAGCATATACTTTACCTCTTTAGGGTGCCCATTCAAAAAAACTAATATATCTTGCATAACGCTTGTTACTTTAGTCGAATACATTCCATGACAAAATCGTAACTTATTATTGTCATAATTCTTACAGATTCTTAAATCAAAATATCTTATACCAGCTTGCAACTGTTCCAAAACATTGTAAGCTTGAGTAACAGACCAATTTGCCATTACAAGCTTAACAATGCTTGAAAACTGTAATTTTTTAAGTATGTCTTCGCCGTCTGGAGATACATCGGATTTGCTTGTAATGTCATTGGTAAAACTGTCATGTGAACCTAAATTTATATTAATTATTTTCCAAATATAAAAAATTATTGTGACTCACCTGGAATAGCCAAATGGTTTATAGGCATATTCCTGAGTGATTCTGGAAGGTTGGACATCCAATTTTCCAAATCTGTTGCCAAATTGTTGATTCCTGATGCCGCTCCAGAAAAAACAGGAAGCAATAAAGTGAAAATTACTGCAATGCCAACGCAAATCATTATTGAGTTTTGCATAAAAATTTAAGTATTTATGATTAAAAAACTATTGTTAACTTGAAATGAATTATTGGGAAACCTCAGATAAAATCGCGATATTTATAATCAAAATTCTTTTGTTGCAACAAATTTTTGAACTGTAATCAAATTTTACTTATTTGATTACTGCAACTGGAGGAATTTTAAGTTTAAATTATAATCACACTTTTTGTGAAAAAGTTTTTGACTAATGGCCGTTTGCACCGACCATTTTAAGGGAGGTTTAACGATAATCCTCGTTTAAATAGTGACATTTTTATATGTGAAAATCACTTTAAATGTTGATTATTGTTAAACTTCCTTTGGAAATTTGATTTTCTCACTATGCCGTTAAATTCAATCGGGATTTGTTTTATTTTCAGATTTAAAATCAACAAATTTTGATAAACATTACACATAAACAGTGACAAAACCTTTAGTTTTCACATATAGTATTCATATAAACTTGACATGACATAAAACTAATGCTGGTAAAAAAATTATCTCAAATTTATATAAACTTTACAGAAATGTCACAGATGTGCGTTTACTAGCTCATAACAGTAACGATACGAGGTCGTAGACCGAGAGTGAATATGTGTAATATACAACACTTAGTTTTTGAATAATCATATACAGTTTTATATATTTTCGTATGGTTCTACATTCGTTCGTAGGCCCTCAACCCCATGTTAATATGAATTCAATCCTATGTACAGGATGTTTTTTTAATATATTGACACCCCACCTACAGCCTTTACCTTTACAGGTAGAGATGAAAGGTGTAAATAAAAAAGTTGTGCAGTATATTGACAAAATTTTTAGAATTCATGGTCAAAAACAAAAACTGGATGTCAGAAATGTGAAATATTGCATGCTTTCAGCTTTTTTCAAATGACATGCGCTATATTTAGTTCTATATTCATGAAGACCACAATTTCCCGATTCCAAAACTATATAGTTTGTTTATATTTGGTTGAGCCGTCTCCAACATATTTGGTTCTAAAAATTTTAAAAATACTATCAGAGAAACCAAGTACCTCAAATTTTACTTATAGCTTTTACCTGTACAGGGTGGGCCAAATTGTACACTTTCTTATGGAAACACCCTTTATTTTTAGAGATAGAAAAAAATGGACCCCCCACTCTGAGGCTCAAATTTCATGAAATCTTGAATGGTGCAGACCGCATTTTGATATCTTCAACCGTTTAGCCGATAGAGGGCGATTCTCGATTTTGCGCAATACTGTAAAGCCTCCATAACTTTTTTGTTTATAAAAATAATTCATTTCCGTAAAGACCTTTTGGATGCACTTTTTCAAGCATAATTCAGTGACGTGTTCAATTTTTTTCTGTCTGGCTTGGATTTCAAGATTTTGACCAAAATCCGATTTTTTTCAATAGGACACCCTATATATTAATAGTTCATTAGAAAGCTATGCTTTCGCTGATTTCAAGGATCTAAAGTTCGATAGGTTTATCTCTAACAGTTTTCGAGAAAAAAAATTATTACGGTTTTTGTCATAAGAAACAATGTGTTGGAAAAGGACTTTATCTCTGTAAGGAAACTGAGAAAGGTTTCTTTCTAACACATTGTTTCTTATGACAAAAACCGTAATAATTTTTTTTCCGGAAACTGTTAGAGATAAACCTATCGAACCCTATATCATTGAAATCAGCAAAAGCAGAGCTTTTTAATGAGCTATTAATATATAGGGTGTCCTATTGAAAAAAATCGGATTTTGGTCCATATCTCGAAATCGAAGCCAAACAGAAAAAAACTGAGAACGTCATTGAATTCTGCTTGAAAAAGTGCTTCCAAAAGGTCTTTACGGAAATGAATTATTTTCATGAGCAAAAAAGTTATGGAGGCTTTACAGTATTGCTCAAAATCGAGAATCGCCCTCTAGCGGCTAAACGGTTGAAGATATCAAAATGCGGTTTGCACCAATCAAAATTTCATGAAATTTGAGCCTCAGAGTGGGGGGTCCATTTTTTTCTATCTATAAAAATAAAGGGTGTTTCCATAAGAAAGTGTCCAATTTGGACCACCCTGTACAGGTAGAATGGTTCACAAAATCAGTAGTAGGATAGTATTTTTACAATTTTTAGAGCCGAATATATGAAAGATTTCTCAATCAAATATATGCAAAATTTCACATTTCTGACATTCAAATTTTGTTTCTGACCATGGTTTTTAAAAATTCAGTTAAAACTGTACAACTTTTGTATTTACATCTTTTTTCTACCTGTAAAGGTAAAGGCTGTAGGTGGGGTGTCAATATATAAAAAACACCCTGTACAAATAGGTGGATTATTGCGGAACTTATGGGTAGACCTCTGCGGGACGAGCGCAGCGAGTTCCGCAGCCATCTACTCACCAATATACTGTTGAACTGTTCGAATAAGGCAACTCACATTTGAGTGAGTTAGGTTGATATCGTTATTATTAAACAACATATTGATGAATAGATGGCTGCGGAACTCGCTGCGCTCGTCCCGCAGAGGTCCACCCATAAGTTCCGCAACAATTCACTCATTTGTACTTGAATAACTTATGTCACATTATGTTACTAGTTTAATAAAGTAACATTACTAATTCCTGTTGAAAGGCAAATTGACAAAAAGTGAATAACCATAATTTTACAAATTTTGACTTTATATTATAAGTTATTGTTCGAGTAAAAAAGGGTGGATTATTGCGGAACTTATAGGTGGACCTCTGCGGGACGAGCGCAGCGAGTTCCGCAGCCATCTATTCACCAATATGTTGTTCAAGTACCTACAAATACTAACCTGATTCACTCAGTTGTGAATTTTTCTCATTAGTTCAAAAACTAAACGTTTCAGGTGAGTGTCTTATTTGAATAGTTCAACAGTACATTGTAGATGGCGATGGCTACAGAGGTCCACCCATAAGTTCTGCAATAATCCACTTATTTGTACTTGAACAATAACTTATTATATAAAGTCAAAGTTTATAGGATTATTCACTTTTTGTCAATTTTTCTTTCAACAGGAATAAGTAATGTTACTTTACCAAACTAGTAACATAATGTGTCAAGTTATTCCAGTACAAATGAGTGAATTATTGCGGAACTTATGGGTGGACCTCTGCGGGACGAGCGCAGCGAGTTCCGCAGCCATCTACTCACCAATATACTGTTGAACTGTTCGAATAAGGCAACTCACATTTGAGTGAGTTAGGTTGGTATCGTTATTATTAAACAACATATTGATGAATAGATGGCTGCGGAACTCGCTGCGCTCGTCCCGCAGAGGTCCACCCATAAGTTCCGCAACAATTCACTCATTTGTACTTGAATAACTTATGTCACATTATGTTACTAGTTTAATAAAGTAACATTACTAATTCCTGTTGAAAGGCAAATTGACAAAAAGTGAATAACCATAATTTTACAAATTTTGACTTTATATTATAAGTTATTGTTCGAGTAAAAAAGGGTGGATTATTGCGGAACTTATAGGTGGACCTCTGCGGGACGAGCGCAGCGAGTTCCGCAGCCATCTATTCACCAATATGTTGTTCAAGTACCTACAAATACTAACCTGATTCACTCAGTTGTGAATTTTTCTCATTAGTTCAAAAACTAAACGTTTCAGGTGAGTGTCTTATTTGAATAGTTCAACAGTACATTGTAGATGGCGATGGCTACAGAGGTCCACCCATAAGTTCTGCAATAATCCACTTATTTGTACTTGAACAATAACTTATTATATAAAGTCAAAGTTTATAGGATTATTCACTTTTTGTCAATTTTTCTTTCAACAGGAATAAGTAATGTTACTTTACCAAACTAGTAACATAATGTGTCAAGTTATTCCAGTACAAATGAGTGAATTATTGCGGAACTTATGGGTGGACCTCTGCGGGACGAGCGCAGCGAGTTCCGCAGCCATCTACTCACCAATATACTGTTGAACTGTTCGAATAAGGCAACTCACATTTGAGTGAGTTAGGTTGGTATCGTTATTATTAAACAACATATTGATGAATAGATGGCTGCGGAACTCGCTGCGCTCGTCCCGCAGAGGTCCACCCATAAGTTCCGCAACAATTCACTCATTGGTACTTGAATAACTTATGTCACATTATGTTACTAGTTTAATAAAGTAACATTACTAATTCCTCTATTGAAAGGCAAATTGACAAAAAGTGAATAACCATAATTTTACAAATTTTGACTTTATATTATAAGTTATTGTTCGAGTAAAAAAGGGTGGATTATTGCGGAAGTTATGGGTGGACCTCTGCGGGACGAGCGCAGCGAGTTCCGCAGCCATCTATTCACCAATATGTTATTGTTCAAGTACCTACAAATACTAACCTGATTCACTCAGTTGTGAATTTTTCTCATTAGTTCAAAAACTAAACGTTTCAGGTGAGTGTCTTATTTGAATAGTTCAACAGTACATTAATTGTAGATGGCGATGGCTACAGAGGTCCACCCATAAGTTCTGCAATAATCCACTTATTTGTACTTGAACAATAACTTATTATATAAAGTCAATAAGTTTATAGGATTATTCACTTTTTGTCAATTTTTCTTTCAACAGGAATAAGTAATGTTACTTTACCAAACTAGTAACATAATGTGTCAAGTTATTCCAGTACATATGAGTGAATTATTGCGGAACTTATGGGTGGACCTCTGCGGGACGAGCGCAGCGAGTTCCGCAGCCATCTACTCACCAATATACTGTTGAACTGTTCGAATAAGGCAACTCACATTTGAGTGAGTTAGGTTGATATCGTTATTATTAAACAACATATTGATGAATAGATGGCTGCGGAACTCGCTGCGCTCGTCCCGCAGAGGTCCACCCATAAGTTCCGCAACAATTCACTCATTTGTACTTGAATAACTTATGTCACATTATGTTACTAGTTTAATAAAGTAACATTACTAATTCCTGTTGAAAGGCAAATTGACAAAAAGTGAATAACCATAATTTTACAAATTTTGACTTTATATTATAAGTTATTGTTCGAGTAAAAAAGGGTGGATTATTGCGGAACTTATAGGTGGACCTCTGCGGGACGAGCGCAGCGAGTTCCGCAGCCATCTATTCACCAATATGTTGTTCAAGTACCTACAAATACTAACCTGATTCACTCAGTTGTGAATTTTTCTCATTAGTTCAAAAACTAAACGTTTCAGGTGAGTGTCTTATTTGAATAGTTCAACAGTACATTGTAGATGGCGATGGCTACAGAGGTCCACCCATAAGTTCTGCAATAATCCACTTATTTGTACTTGAACAATAACTTATTATATAAAGTCAAAGTTTATAGGATTATTCACTTTTTGTCAATTTTTCTTTCAACAGGAATAAGTAATGTTACTTTACCAAACTAGTAACATAATGTGTCAAGTTATTCCAGTACAAATGAGTGAATTATTGCGGAACTTATGGGTGGACCTCTGCGGGACGAGCGCAGCGAGTTCCGCAGCCATCTACTCACCAATATACTGTTGAACTGTTCGAATAAGGCAACTCACATTTGAGTGAGTTAGGTTGGTATCGTTATTATTAAACAACATATTGATGAATAGATGGCTGCGGGACGAGCGCAGCCCACTTACAGCCTTCACCTTTACAAGTAAATGAAAGGTGTAAATACAAAAGTTGTACAGTATTGGCTAAATTTTTAGAATCCATGGTCAGAAACAAAAATTGAATGTCAGAAATGTGAAATGTTGCAAGCTTATTTCAGCTTTTTTCAAATAGGATGCGCTATATTTGGTTCTATATTCTTGAAGAGCACAATTTTCCCGATTCTAAAACTATATAGTATGTTTATTATATTTGGTTGAGCCGTCTTCAACATATTTGGTTCTAAAAATTTTAAAAATACTATCAGAGAAACCCAAGTACCTCAAATTTTACCTGCAGCTTTCACCTATATAGGTAGAATGGTTCACAAAATCAGTAGTAGGATAGTATTTTTACAATTTTTGGAGCCGAATATATGTATATGAGAGACTATTCAATCATATATAGACAAACTATATATTTTTGGAATCGGAACATTGGTGCTCTTCAAGAATATAGAATGAAATATAGGGCATCCCATTTGAAAAAAGCTGGAATTAAGCATGCAAAATTTCACATTTCTGACATTCAAATTTTGTTTCTGACCATGGTTTCTAAAAATTCAGTCAAAACTGTACAATTTTTGTATTTACACCTTTCTTCTACCTGTAAAGTCAAAGGCTGCTGTAGGTGGGGTGTCAATATATAAAAAAAACACCCTGTACAGTTTTGTCACTTTATCTACGATCCAGAGTTTTTTTTTTTTTTTTTTCTCTTTCACATCTTTTTTGATTTTTCAAAACAGATTACTTATATGGATTAAGTAATGAGCTTTAAGTTATTTAATGAGCTCAATACATCACTAGTACGATAATACAACTTAGTACGTAGCTCAAATAGGCTAAAATTGGTCACTTAATAAAATAATGTGGGTCGTACTCATTATATAAAAAGAATGTGTCTCCCTAAGCTTCTCCGCCACACTGTCATGAATCATATAACATGTAGTGACGCCTATAAAATGGTATAGAAGCTGCCTATTCTATTGCCCAAGGCTTGTTATCTTTTTCTTTTATACACAATAAAGTGAGCTAGAATAATTTCAATAGGGATCTTCAGCAGTCAATATAACCAAACCGTCAATATTAAGTTGTTAAAAAGAATTTTGCAACTTTTATGGATTTAAAAAAAAGGATTGCAATAATAATAATGATAAAACCAAATGAGCTTTGATTTTTGAATAATAAGAACATTGTATAAAAATAAAAAACTTAATTATTACAAATATCTAAAAATCAATAAAGAATCAGCTGGTGACTAGAATGCAATATATGCCTATTTCATTGATTGTATTTCTCTTTATTTACATCCTTTGTTTTACTACTAATTTTCATTTCAAAATAAAGCTACCAAAATAGAACACAAAAGTGACTAGAATCTAAACATAAATACAACTCAAGTAAATACCAAATAACTAATAATGTAATTAAAAATGTGTTTTAATTTTAATTGAGATAAATTAATAAATTCCTAGCGCAGGTGTGAAAACTACAAGGACATATTATTAGATTCCCATTCATTGAAACAAAAATCAATTTCCCAGCCACCTCAGCAGATGAATAAAGATAATCATCTATATTTTCTATTGTTCCTAATATGGATTGAATTTACATGCTTTACACTATAATGAAACACAACTCTGACCGAGTTAGATAAAAATGTACTCTCGTGAAGATGACGATTATTCTACAAAAATTGAAAGAATCATTGGAGAAAATACTGATTTGACTAGGGATTTGGAATATTGGATGACCAAATTGCCTGCCAGCTTAAGATCATTGCCAATTATTTATTTGGCTATTCCAGGTTTGACTTGTACATACTTAATTAAATCATTTACAACAATGAAAAAATTATTTTAGGTTCTCACGATAGTTTTACATCAAACATTACAAGCTCTAGCGAAATATCTCTGGATTCTGAAAAAATATTGCAAGATTTGAAATGGCTCTTTTGTGTAAAAGTTGTTATGGCAAATTGGACCAAAACTCAAAATCTTATTATTAATGAGCAATTGAAAGCTGGAATAAGATACTTTGATTTGAGAATTAGTACAAGAAGGCACAATGATGATTTGTACTTTTGCCACGGCCTTTATTCTTGTAGAGTTGAGCCTGTTTTGCTGGAGATTGGGCGTTTTTTGGAAACACACACTCAAGAGGTAGGTTGATAATTTCTTTATTGTAACAAATCAAGAACAAATTCGTCCAAATCATTAGGGGGTTGGCTTTCAGGCTGCAATAATAATTCTTCTAAGGATGCAGTAGTTTGTGGTTTAGTTTCGTCATTAACTTTTGCTGGCAAGTCCATTTCTTCTTTAGAATTGCTTGTAGGTTTTTTAACGAGTATTATACACTCACCTTCCACTGGATAAGGGCATTTCAAGTTTGTGCATAATAAAATAGCAGATTCCAAATTAATTAGTTTCAATTCTAATGGTTTTTCACAGTTTGGGCAATACTTTGGCATCTGAAATAATGGCATTTAATTTATACATTTAGTGGTTAATTTAATGTACTCACTTGCATTTTGGGATAATTTTTATTAATAGTTAAATTTTTATTTTACAAATTCTGTTGATATTTTTAAATTTTGAAAAAGTTAGGTTAAGTTGATTGACATTTTATTTGAAGGAACTGCCAGAGCTAAAGGTGGGTTCAGACTGTTCAGACTTGAATTTTTCAATTTTTCTTTTTTTTTTTTTTTCATAAGAGAATAGGAATATTCAAAGGCCTGAAATAGAAAGGAAAAATGATCGATTTTCCTCAATTTTCTCCTCTTTATTCCTCTTCTCTACTATAATTTAGCAGAGTACCTACTTACCTACTCTCTAACAATTTCTCAATTTTTATTGAATATTCTTCTCTCTGTATTTTTCCCTTTTTTATCCCACTTTATACTACTTTGTCTCACAATTAATTTTTTTTTACTACTAACCGGAGAAATAGTCATTATTCAATCTATTTTTCTAGGAAAAAATTGAATTTCTCTCCATAGGTTAATAATGAAAATAATGAAAAAATACCTAGGTCAATAATGAAAATGACGTCATGACGCAAGGATATTGTCATGTTTCTATTGGTTTAATTTCAATTTCAAAAAAAAATACAGGTTTCTGTAGGTACCTACATAGGAAGTTATCATAAGCTGTTGATTGGTGGAAATGGCCGTTAGAAAAATTAAGAAGAAAACGGAAATTCAAGATCCGGGAATAGATAAAATATGAGATGGAAAAATTGAAAAATAAATATACTTAGATAATAATAATATTAATAATAATATCTGAGTAAACATCAAAAAATTTGCAAAAATATGGCAGCAGGGGCGTGGCTAACTTTTATATTCATATTCAAAATTTGCAAGAATATGGCGGCGGTACCGAATTTCTATTTGAAAAGGTGAAGTTACTGTGGGCCGGGGCCATTGGAAAGGGTTGGAAAGGAAACAACCAATCAAATACTTTGACGATATATAAACCCCGGAAAGGGGCGGGGCTCAACTAACCAATTGAATGCCCTGCTGATATCACTCGCATCTGATTGGAAAGGGGCGGGGCTTATATCCAACCTATCAAATGCTTTGTTGATATCCTTGCGTTTGATAACGAGTCAGCCACAGAGTGTTGCCAGCTTGATGGAATTATCCCCTTTTTGAGGCAATTTTCTATTTTCGTTCGCAAAGGGTACCTAGAAGTGGAGCGGAATTTTTAAAGTCTGTTTTTTTTTTTAAAGATAAAAGTCAAAATGACATTATGTTGGCAAAACAATGTTAAATTGTCGATGCTTTCAAATTTTTTATGTAGAGAAGTTAAGGCTTGTGTTGCCAACATAGTTACTAAATTTTTGACTTGGGGAATTATCTTTAAAAAAAAACATAGGTAAAGTCTGTTTTTTTTTTTAAAGATAATTCCCCTAGTCAAAAATTTAGTAACTATGTTGGCAACACAAGCCTTTTCTACATAAAAAATTTGAAGCATTGACAATTTTACATTGTATTGCCAACATAATGTCATTTTGACTTTTATCTTTAAAAAAAAAACAGATTTTACCTACTTTACTTTTTCTTTTATTTAATAATCGCAAAATTTTCATGTTCAATGGAAAATTGGTAATTTTAAGTTTCTAGCACACAATTAATATACAATAGGTATACAGGGTAGCCCATTGAACTTAAGACATTATTGAACTTTTTTTTTTCAAAAACGCGCCATTTTCGAGATATTGCAATGTCTCAATTTAAATGGGCCACTCTATATAAGTATGGGTAGGTACAACATCTCATTCCCGACTGTAAGTGAAGGCGCAATAATTGTTTTTTTCCACTACCGCGCATAAAATACTTACGTTACGCACCTTTTAGAAGACATAAAATGTCACGCACCAATGCGTAAAATAGTTTTTTTATTACTAACCTGAGAAGTAGTCATTATTCCATCAATTTTTCTGTAAAAAAAATTGAATTTCTCTCCCTAGGTTTAATAATGAAAATAATGAAAAAATACCTATGTATACTTTATTTTTTTCCAAGATAGATTTTGACATTGAAAACTTTGAAACATAAACAATAACGCTTGACCCTGATTGGTCGCAAAATGAAGTGTTCCTGCAGGTTGACATCAGTTTTACAATAGCGGCCAATAAGTGGCATTAGCGGCATTGTTTATGTTTCAAAGTTGACAATGCCAAAATCTATGTTGGAAAAAAATAAAGTATAGGTCAACAATGAAAATGACGTCATGACACAAGGATATTGTCATAACGTAACAGGTTTCTATTGGTTTAATTTCAGTGTCAAACTGTCAATTTTTGTATGTACAGGGTGGCCCATTTTCGATGTTTTAATAGGCTATACCGAAAACTAGCAGAGATATCAAAAATCTGGGAGCACATTCTCGAGCTCTTTTTTTGAGAAAATAAAAATGGCGAAGACAAATCACGGCTAACTTGATGCGTTTAGGAAATACGGGGCACTTTCCAAATTTTGTCCAATTTCAAAAGACTCTCTAATTTCCTTATTTTCAAGATATCCAAAAATGAAAAATACTTTCTATAGGCAGTTTTCCAAGGAGAATCCAGTGGCATGACCAATTTTTTTCCAGATGCCTCCGATTTTGGAATATTGACCAAAGTTTTGTTTCTTTAAATGGGACACCCCGTATATTATTTTTTCATTGAATAGGTCTATGTGAGCTGATTTCGATGATATAAGGTTTTATACCTTTACCTTCAATAGTTTTGGAGAAAAAAAATAAATTCCGTTTCTTCCATAAGAAACAATGAGTTAGAAAGAGATAGTTGAACTATGAATCGGGGGTGATAAATAAGCAGTGTAATTTATTTAATGACTTATCTCTCTCTAGCTCATTGTTTCTTATGGAAAAACGGAATTAATTTTTTTTTTCTCCAAAACTAGGAGGTAAAGGTATGCAACCTTATATCATTGAAATCAGCTCAAAGGTCTATTCAATAAAAAAATAATATACGGGGTGTCCCATTTAGAAAAACACAACTTTGGTCAATTTTCCAAAATCGGAGGCAACTGGAGAAAAATTGGCTATGCCACTGGATTCTCCTTAAAAAATTGCCTATAGGAAGTATTTTTCGTTTTTGGATATCTTGAATAATAAGGAAATTAGAGAGTTTTTTAAAATTGGACAAAATTTGAAAAGTGCCCTGTATTTCCTAAACGCATCAAGTTAGCCGTGATTTGTGTTCGCCATTGTTGTTTTCTCAAAAAAAGAGCTCGAGAATGTGCTCCCAGATTTTTGATATCTCTGCTAGTTTTCGATATAGCCTATAAAACATTGAAAATGGGCCACCCTGTACATTATAGGAAATTACCGTAAGCTGTTGATGGAGGGCAGCACTTCCGACAAGAGAAAATAATTTGAGCACAGGTTTCTAACCTATTTTTTATTTTCTACTAGCAGTAGTAAAGAAAATTCTATATATCCCTCGGTAGAGAAAGTCAGTATATACCTTACGCATTATAAACGTCGGCGCTTCGCGCCTCGGTTTATAAAAGCGCTCCGTATATAATGCAGGGGCGTCGCGCCGGGGGGGGGTAATGGGGGTAATGGGGGTAATTACCCCCTCCAGGATCGAAAAATCACGATTCCCAAAAGAAAATACGCAAAATATTGAAGAAAATACTTTTTTTTTGTTTTATTTTCCTCACAAAGGAAATAATTTTTCTGGAAAAGTGAATGACCTTGGAATTTTCGAAAAAATTTCGCCTGGGGCGCGTTTGCGGGGGGGGAACCCCCGAGCCCTCCTGTATAATTTACCCCCCCCAGGCTGCTTGTCACGCGTCGCCACTGATATAATGACCAACTTCTCTACCTAGGTACATAATGTACTATTTTCTCAATTTTTATGGATTTTTCCTGTTTCTTTTTCTCCTTTATCTTTCGTCTGAATTTTTGTATAAGTATTCCCGGCTCTTAAATGTTTCTCTTCTCTTATATTTTTGTTAAGTATTGAGAAGAGAATTCGAGAGATATTTTTATGATGAGCATGGAAAAAACTCCTTCACTTTAACTTTAACACTTTTGCAGATAGTTATTTTGGACTGCCAGCATTTCTACGGATTCACTCAGCAAACACACGGTAAACTAATGCAAATGATAATTAAAACTTACGGCACTAAACTGCTTCCCTATTCTGATCATATGGATCACTTATCATTGGATTATATGACTACACAATTTAGATATCAAGTAAGATTGAAAAAATATCTCAATTATTTAACTTAATAATTTATTACATTTCAGATTATAATAATATATCGGTCAGATGCTGCCAGATTTGGACAACCTTTACTTTGGCCATCAGATAGTTTTCCAACTCCCTGGGCTGATACTATGGAATCCAATACTCTATTCAACTTCTTGGACGATGCTATTAAAGACAGAACCGATCATGTTGGTTTTATTACTCAATGTATTTTGACTCCTAAACTTTCAGATATTCTTGCAAATATTTTTAGTAAGTCTATATATTTTTTTAATTACATTATACATATTAATTGTTTTATAGCTACATTAAAACAAAAACTAGCCATAGACTTTGAAGATTTAAGAACGGGTTGGATATCGAAACAAATACCAGGACGTGGAGGTGTCAATATCGTTATCGGCGATTTTGTTGATCTGGCAGACAATTTATTTACTAGAGCTGTGATAAATTTGAATATTAAATTACTAAGTGACCTTCCTAGGCCTTTAAACACTACTATTATAGGTGTTAATGGCCTTAAAAGATATTAAAATTTGCTGTGCCATAATGAGTGAAAATATTCTAAAGAGTTGATTTAGCACTGGTTATAATATTGCAAACAATTAACTAGTAATTATTAGTAGTAAGATGTTCTCTATTAATATATTTACTTTATTATTTCATCTAATTTTTTACAGCCTATATTAGGGGGGGTTCTGATACACAAAATTTACATATCTCAGGGAAAATATATGTTTCAATCTAAATCTTTTGGACGTCCAATAATAAATTGATATTATTTTGTTTCTGCAAATTATTTCTTATCATAACAAATAAGGTGTTACTATTTGTAGGAATATAAAGCATATCTTAAATATTTATACAAAATAGTAGGATATTGGTAAATTCTTGTAAAAACGTATTTTAATATTAACTTTTTTTGTTTTTGTAACTTCCTTTGGACAATCTTTTTTGAGCAATATTTTTAAACTATTTTTTACTGTTAGGTTCCTTTTTTATTGCTTTATTAATATCTTAAGATATTATTTAATTTATTTTTTATATTGTAAATAGTTTTGAGCTACATATTGTTCGTTCATGTATTGATCAATGAAACTGTTGGTATTTCCCATGTTGTTCAAAAATATATGGAATATTTAAAAAAAAAATGCATTTTTCCTATGCAGTTTGTTTTCATTTTATACCTATATTTAGACTTCTTACATTTTTGAGTTTCATTATTTGAGTAAAATTTATAATACAAATTTGCCATAAACGATTCTTGATTATATGGCGAAGGCAAATCTCTTGTATTTGTTTTACAGGAATCTGTAACAAACTCAGCTGTTCATAGTAAAATTGAAGTAGTGCTCGGAGCAGCTGTATTGTTTTTCATCTCTGTTCCTTTCATCAAAAAGAAAAAAGATAAAACATGCTCCGAGCTCTGAGTGGTTCAAAACAAACTCCAATCTTCTACAAGAAAATAATTAATAAACATAAACAAACTTCTTGGTTACCGGTTGGTTACCATATTATGATTGTTGATTCCTGGTTCAAAATCATTAAACCAAAACCACTTTTGTAACAAAAAAGGTTATCCAGAAATTCCCAGGTAAAAATGAATTCTGAAAACAAATCTCCACTCAAAATAAAGCAACTTATCGCTCAGCTTGGCCTCCAGCCATCAAAAAGTGTTTCTAAACCAGAAAACCCCATGCAGCATGTCCCATGCGAAGTTGAATATCCATCCCCAATAGTTTCCTCTGGTAAGTGTATTTTTTTCCAATAGAAATGGTAATGGGGCAATTCAAAATTGTCAAGGAGGCCCTATAAAAGTTTGACGTTTATTAGACATGACACCCCTTGATCCCCATTCTATGAACATTGGCGTTTATTAGACATGACCCCCCTTAATCCCTATTCTATTGACATTGACCTTCATTAGACATAACCCCACTTAGGGCCATATTCTTCGTAGTTCATAAAATCTGACTTAATGGAAACGATTGACTATTTTCGCCCGATTCTATCGACATTGCGTTTATTAGGCATGACCCCCCCTTGAACTCTATTGGGCATTGACATTTATTAGACATGACTCCCCCCTTAAACTCTATTCTATTGACACGACCCCACTTAGCTTGATAGACAGACTACAATCTGCACTAATGATATTTTTTAAGACCTGAGTCATTCAGTTCAGGAACACTTGCATAAGTACAGTCGAGGGGTGTCTCACGCTGTTAAATTTTGTACATTTATTTCCTTTTTGGAAATGTTTTTCTGATATTGTCCATAATTTCCGAAATTTCCTGAATATTTAGAATTTTTATAAGTATTTTCTATAATTTTTAAAATTTCCTAAATAATTATGAAACTTCCTGAATAATTTCCGGAATTCCCCAAATAATTACTAGTTTCCTATGAAATTTCTGACATTTCTAAAACAAAAATTGTTAATTTTCAAAATTTCTGAGAGATTTTTACCTAATTTCTCCCCAAAGTTTTCGAATATCTCTATAATATTGACTGTAGTTTTTTAGAGATGATCATTTACTTACATTTTACACGGTACTGTGAAGAGGAAGGTTAGGAGGTTATTTTTCCAAAATTTCAAATTTTTCCAGGGGAAAATAACTACATGAAAAATCTTGGAAATCAACTTAGAAAAAGTGAATTAATTGAAAATATAATTTCACACATTTCAAAGTTTTCCTGGAAAACTAATTAAGGAAAAATGTTGAAACTTTCTGCATGTAAAGAGGAAGGTTAGGAGCTCATTTTCCCAAAATTGCAAAATTTTTCATTGGAAAATAACAATATGGCGAATCTTGGAAAACAGCCTACAAAAACTGAATTCAAATTGAAAGACAGTCTCACACAATTCAAAGTTTTCCTGGAAAACTAGTGAAGGGAAAATTTTGAAACTCTTTGCATGTAAAGAGGAAGGTTAGAGGTTCATTTTTCCAAAATTTCAAATATTTTCCAGTGAAAAATAACAACATGAAGAATCTTGGAAATCAGCTTACAAAAAATAAATTAATTAAAAATACAGTCTTACACATTTTCAAAGTTTTTCCGGAAGCACCCGCGTATACAAGGGGGGGGGGTAATGGGGGTAATTACCCCCCACCTTACAAACAAATCTATTTTTTATATTTTTTCTTTTCTGCAACTGGCCCTAACTTGTTTTCTAGTTTGCACAGTGTCCGCACTGCCCGCATGCCATTTATAGTGAATTCTATTCAAAGGGATAGTGCACACTGAGTGTATTCATATCTTTCTCTACTAGCTTGCATAAGAAAGAGATAAATACATTTTTTGTATTAATCCTACCAATAGAATTCGCTATGCCTATAATTGAAAAGTTTTAGGCGATTCTCATAGCGAATTCCATCGGTAAAATCAGTGCGAAAGATATTTTTATCTCTTTCTTATATAAGCTGGTAGAATAAGATACGAATACACTCGGTGCGCACTAACCTTTATTCCAATGGAATTCGCTATCAGAGTTCGGTTTCGTTATTTGTTGGTAGTACAGAATATATTTACCTAACAAGTGCGAAAAATGAATTTTTCCGCACGAGTCTGTCGTTCACCCAAAGACGCGTAGCGGAATTCGGTGAAGCAGCCAAGTTCGGAAGACAGATTTTCCGCATGTGTTAGGTACAATAGTTTTTTTACAGACGTGCGGAAATAAGTAGGTATGTACATATACCCAAGGATGATACACACTACTACTACTACAGGATGGCCTATCCTCATAAGGCCTGTTTGTAAAAAATCCCCCTCTACCCCCCTTAGCCAAACAACCAGTTGTGACGTAAGCAGCATGGCGTTTCTCGCCTTGACCCTTGACGTAGGCTGTTTAAACAGCTGAAAACTTAGTTATGACGTCGACAATGGTTGAAAACAGTTGAAAACCAATATGGCGGCGATTACCAAAAACGAGAAAGAGTTGTTTCAGAATGTTAATTAATGTAGTGAAACCAAGTTTTGCATAAAGGAAAAGCCCGCGGAATCATAACCTGTGGTACAAACACCCTACGTGAAGACGAGAAACGACACGCTGTCTACGTCATCACTGATATTTTGGCATGGCAGCGGCGGCTTCAGATTGAACTACACAGGCCTTATGAGGATAGACTATCCTATAGTAGTAGTGTGTAGTATCCTTGCAGGAAACTGAGGTCCAAAAGTAACCTCTTTTCCAGGAACCAGTAATTAGTAATTCGATTACTTTCGGAACGCTTTTCTGTAGTTGCCACATTTTTATTTTTCGTTGAGGAATCAGGAGCATTAACCCTCAGATTTGACTGGAACGATTTAACCCATTTCCCAAAATCACAAAAAAAAATACTTGTTTCTTGATGTTACAGATTGGGTACCAAGATCGTGTGTCAAAATCGTGTAATTGTGAAAAATGAAAGCGTGTAAAAACGTGTAATTTTACTAGCATATCGCTGATTACCCCCCCCCAGACGCATGGGCTGGATACGCCGGTGTCCGGAAGACTGATAAAGGGAAAAATTTGAAACTTTTTACATGTAAAGAGGAAGGTTAGATGCTCATTTTTCCAAAATTTATAAATTTTCCCAGTGGAATATAACGACATGAGAAATTTTGATAATTAACTTAAAATAACTGAATTAAGGTAAAACGCTAGTTATTGACACTATAAGGGACATAATTACTCTTCAGCATTTTTTTTTTTTTACCAAAACACTTAAGGTGTTTCTTATATTTTTATATTGATCTTTGGAGATTTTTTTATTAATTTATTATTAAACTTTCAATATAGTGACCTTATTTCCATTACTGTGATTTTTTTTTTTATTTTATGTTTTCCATACCAGTGATTGACATGGATATTTTCCCAAAATTTAGTAATTGACACCCAGTTATTGACTACTACTTAGTATTAATTTATTTTCCAAAATCAGTTAAGAACTTTTCTCTTAAATTTAACTAATGCCATATAACAAAAAACTAACATGTAGGTATGTCTAAAAAATAGTATCAGATACATCTACAGGTTCTGGAAAAACATATTTTACCCTATCACCTGATACTATCATATTTGGGAAAGGCAATTTCTTAATAATCTGAGTAAAACTTATTACAGATACATCAGTTGCATTTAACTTAAATGTAGTTTTTTTATCATTACAACAAATCATTCCTACTACTTCAGCTTCAGAATTAATTAATATTTCTTGAACAACACAAGCAAAATTCTTCCAGTTTTTCTTGCCAGGAAACTTAACTAATATATAGTCACCCCCTTGGATATTTTCTTTTTCAAGGACTATGTTTTCCTTTTCAGAACTCTTTAATTTAGTTATGTTTATTTCTTCATCACTGTTCAGTTCAAAACTTTCCTCATCACTTTCTCCACTTGATGCCCACTCTTCTGAAAGAGAATCTGAGTCACTTATATATTTCCTCCTTTTTGATCCTACTGGTTTTCTTTTTTGTAGACTTTTTGAAGTTTTCTTTCTTTTCTCACTGAATTTTTGTTTTGTCTCTGTATCTTTTTGCTTTTGGAGTGCCTTCTGTTCTCTCAAAATTAATCTTTCTTTTTTCTCTTCTATTTTTCTTTGTTTTTCATTTTCCTTTTTTCGATGGTATGCCTGCCATGCACTCGATGTCACTACAGATGGAATTTTTTCTTTATTCTTCCTTTTCTTAGTATTAGGTTGTTCTTCAGGCCAAAAAAGTGCTTGCTTAAATGGAGAAGGAACTTCAAAAGGAATTTTAGCTGTACTTGATTTTACTGCAGTTAACTTTTCAGGAGTTTCAGGATCTTGAAATAGGGAAACATTAAATGAAATATCAGAGGGTCCTGCCACTAGACTTTTTTCCCCATTATTTAAATGTATTTGTGTTACACTTAAATTATTTTCTTCTAAAGAAACCCCAGAGGAAGAAATTCCAGAGGGTCCAGGCATTGAATAGTTTTCTTCCTTATCATTTTTGTCTAAAGAAACCCCAGAGGAAGAAATTCCAGAGGGTCCAGGTATTGAATAATTTTCTTCCTCATCATTTTTGTCATTGACATCTAATAATTGACACCCCAGTCAATAACTGGATTTACTTGAAATAAAAACAAAAAACTTGAATTGGCAACATCGTCTTCACCTCAGGATCTTAATGCAAACTAAATCTTAAAAATATCTCATAAGTCAGTCTTTGACAGGGTGTCAATCACTGGTCTTGGTATACATATTGTACAGGGTGTCTCTAAAAGGTCTTTACAAAATCATAGCACATATTCCCAAGGTCAAAATAAGTCGATTTGAAGCAACTTACCTCAGTCCGAAATTGCTCCGTTTCCGAGATACAGGGTGGTAAAGTTGAAAAATCAAAATCGAATTTTTCAAAATTTATGAACACATCTCGATGGATTGCTCTAAAAATTGGCACCTAGGGGTTTTTTGGGACGCGAAACCCGAATATCGACACCTTTTAACTATGGCCGCTAGATGGCGCTTCACAATGCTCTTCTTATGGTTTAAAATGGCCGTAACTTTTTTCTCAGTGTAATTTTTCACTTTTTTTGGTAAGTAAATAATTGTGTCAACATTTTCAGACAAAAAAGGTATGCTTGTCATAATCCGTTTAAGTGAGCCTTCTGTGAGATATTTCCGTTTTTGTTGTCCGATGCCGCACCGAAATTATTGAAATTATTTTGAATAAAAAAAATTTTTCAGTACCTTTAGGAATGAAAAGTGGTCAGTGAATTACAAATGCGAATGTTTTCATTTGTTCGAATGTTCCTTGGACCAAAATAAGGTGATTTAAGCAAACTTACTTTATTACAAAGTTGCTTAGTTTGGGCGCTATAGGCCCCGAAGTGACAATTTTAAAATAGTTTTTTTAATAAACTTTGAACAGTTTGTTCGATTTTGCTAAAATTTGATATGGTGGCATAGCTTCACGTGGCAAAAACACCGATATCAAAATTATTGATAATACAGTCCATAAGCGGAGGTCTAGGGTTTTTTAATAATTGCATGTCTTGAATTTCTACGCCAATGAAGGAAAAGGGATTTGGGCATGAGGTTTAGATTAACCAAATTATTTACTACATACTCTTGATGAAACTTGATTACTCTCATGGTTTTTGCGAAAATTGTAAATAGTTCGCTGTAATTTTACAGAAAAAAAAATAAGTTGCCAATGTAATGAATTATGAATACAAATAAATAAATAAAGATATCATAAATACTGTTCAAAGTGTCCACCATTTGCACATATACAAAGATTTATACGACGAAGAAAATTAAAATGTACTCTTTGCAAAACTTCTTCATCAGCTCTAAGATTATTTGTTACATCTTGAATACGTTGCCACAATTGTTCTTCATTATCTACTGGTGTCATGTAAACCATGGACTTGAGATGTCCCCAAAAAAAATAGTCCAATGGTGTTAAGTCCGGAGAACGTGCAGGCCACTTGACAGGGGCGTTATCACCTCTACCTATCCATTTATTTGGGTACTGCCGATTTAAATAGTTTCGAACATTTAATGAAAAATGTGGTGGAGCTCCATCGTGCATAAACCACATATCTCTCCGAAGTTCTAAAGGTAAATCGTCTAACAAATCTCGCAAAGTTCTTCGTAGGTGTTGACGCAAATAAATTTCAGCCGTTAACTTTTGGGGGAGACGGACAGGACCAATTTATAAAATTACCGATTATTTCAGCCCATACATTAATTCTAAATTCGTGTTGAAAATGATTTACCTTGATTGCATGCGGATTTTCATCTGCATAAACATGTTCATTATGAAGATTCGTTACCCCTCTTCTTGTAAAACATGCTTCATCGGTGAACAAAATATTGTTGCCAAAGTTTAAATTTCTTTCTCTTTGCCCATTAACAAACTGACAAAAAACCAGGCGCATTTCAGGATCATGCTGTGATAGATCTTGAACTGACATTTTATGGTATGGATGTAACAACTGTTCTTTAAGTACTCTATGGACGACATCTTTGGATACTCCCATTTCCCTACCTACTCGTCTGGTACTTACTTCTGGCTCGTCTTCAACACGTTCCAAAATTTCTTCTTCTACTTCAGGAACCCTGACAAAACGCTGCCTTCCATAATCAGTGGTTTCTGGTGCAAAGCGGCCAGTCTCCCGAAGACGCCTCTCAACAGCAGCAAAAGTTGGGTGGCTTGGTATACGACGATTTGGGAACCTCTCGGAGTACACCCTGACACACTCTCGACCATTTCCTTGACAATATCCAAATACCAATAACATATCGGTATATTCTGCATTGGTGTATTGTACGGCCATGATAGATCACGAAAATGTAAATTTTTCTTGTTTATTAGGGAAAATAAAGTTTAACGTTATTAAAAATTGAATGTGGTTTAAATTTGATTATTTCCCACCTGTCAATTTGAACCAATCAAAAAAACGGATATTACCCCCGACAATGGTTTTATTTACACGAAGCTATGGAATCCAACAAAAAAAAACATAAACAATGGAATGTGGCACCGCACCGCCGACTGAATGAGCATGTTTGTTGGTCTTTTTACCTTAAAATAAATTTGAAAAACTATTTTTGCTAACATATTTTTTTGTAAAAACTACATCGAATTATTAAAATACAATTTTCGCAAAAACCATGAGAGTAATCAAGTTTCATCAAGAGTACCTTTTTTGTAGTAAATAATTTGGTTAATCTAAACCTCATGCCCAAATCCCTTTTCCTTCATTGGCGTAGAAATTCAAGACATGCAATTATTAAAAAACCCTAGACCTCCGCCCATGGACTGTATTATCAATAATTTTGATATCGGTGTTTTTGCCACGTGAAGCTATGCCACCATATCAAATTTTAGCAAAATCGAACAAACTGGGTAAAATTTTACCTTATTTGAAAATACTTCCTCACACATTTTAAAGTTTTCTTGAAAAACCAAAAGAGGCAAAATTTTGGAACTTTTTGCATGTGAAGAGGAAAGTTAGGAGCTCATTTTCCCAAAATTTCAAATTTTTCCAGTGGAAAATTACAACATGCAAAATATTGAAAATGAACTAACAACAATAACTGAATTAATTGAGAATAAAGTCTCACATATTCTACAGTTTTTCTGGAAAACTAGTACAGATAGGGAAAAATTTGAAACTTTCTGCATTTAGTGAGGAAGGTTAGAAGCTCTTTTTCCCAATTATATTTTTTCCAGTAGAAAATAACAACATAAAGCTTGACTTCTATAGTTTATGAGATGTGTTTATACATGGGTACCTACCTACTTACTTACCTTTATTTTGTTAGCAGTTAGGTATTTTTATTTACAAAATATTAAACAGGAACTAAACAATATGCGATACACAAAAATTCTCAAAGATTTCTGGTGAAAATTTACTAATTTCCTATAATAATTTCATAAAATTTTCTATAATTTCGAAAAATTTCCCAATATTTCGAATAATTTCCTAACAGTTCCTGACATTTCCCAAAATAGATTGCAATAGTCTACAATACTTTCACAATAGGTACCCTGCAATATCTGAGTATTGCACAATATATGTACAAAAAAACTACAGTGAAATAACCCTCGATTTATATGGAACGTTCTTTTGTATGATGTGTTGATTTTGATTTTTTAGTATTTTGTATCTTTTTCCCTTTTCTGAAGTAGATAATAATTATTTTACATGTAGAATATTTCAGTATAAAATAAAATAATTTTTCATTTATATTATAATATATTGTTTTATTTTTATGGCATTTTATCAAACAGTAGATATTAGGTCTGTTTCTGCAGAAATCACAAACCATTCAGTAGAAAACTAGTTTCAACCAATGACATCAACTCTGACTGGTTTGTGATTTCTGCAAAAACAGATCTTATATTATGGACGGAGTCCGCGCCGACGAAGCCGTTCTGAATTACACTTGGTTTCGTAGTATCATGACCACATTTAAGTGGTACAAAATGCAGTCAGTCATAGACGCGTGTATTCTCTGTAATGCTCTGAATCACACGTGGATTTGGAGTAAGTACTATGCATTTGCGTTGTACAAACCAGAGTTGAGTACAGAATATTTAACGTTATGTGGCGCTCTGTACTGCACTGTGGTTCGGAATTACGCTACCGGGTAATCTAGGAAAATCTGTGGATATTTTTTGCATAAAGATATCTCTTGTACACTTAAATATGTTGTGGCTAACCCCTCGGGGTAAATTTATGAATAATTCAAATGTTCTGAGTGCCTTTTTCCATAGATTTCAGCTTCAAATCTCAGAATAATTTAGTGTATGGAGGTTAGAAAGTCCCCAATGATGATTTAGACATAAATTATCAACATAAAAAAATTTGAAATTTAATCATTCTAGCACTGAGGTCTCGGCTGAGGTAGCTACTCGGGTAGCTACCTTATGATTTAGATTTTGCAAAACTTTAAAAGGTCATAACTTTTTTTCTATTATAGATATTCTATTCAGCTCATTTTAACTTATAGTTTCTGAGATAAAATCGCGTTAAGCAATTTGAGGTAAATTATCAATTTTTCAATTTTTCTGAGTGCCTTTTTTCATAGATTTCGGCTTCAAATCTCAGAAGAATATAGTGTATGGAGCTTGAGGGGTCCCCAATGATCATTTAGACATAAAATCTCAACAAAAAAAAATATGAAATTTTATAATTTTTGTACCTTATGTACCTTATGATTTAGCTTTCTGAAAACTTTGAAAGATCATAATTTTTTTTCTATCAGAGATAGAAAGCTGAAATTTTCAGGGATTCGTGTCCTAGTGGAGGACTACAATCCCCGAGACAATCCCTGCAAATTTCAGCTCATTTGGACTTATAGTTCCTGAAAGAAAATCGTGTTAAGCAATTTGGGGTAAATTATCAATTTTTCAATTTTTCTGAGTGCCATTATTTCATAGGTTTTGGCTTCAAATCTCAGAATAATTTAAAGTATTGAGTTTGGGGCTTCCGCGCTGGCTTCCGCCAATTATCATTTAGACACAAAATCTCAACATATAAAAATTTGAAATATTATCATTTTAGTACTAATGTAGCTACCTTAGGATTCAGATCTCTGAAAACTTTGAAAGGTCATAACTTTTTTTCTATTAGAGATAGAAAGCTGAAATTTCCAGCATTTCTTATCCCAATAGAGGACTTACAATCCCTGAATATTTCAACTCATTTGGACTTATAGTTTCTGGAATAAAATTGCATTTTTCTTTAGTCAGGAAGAGGAAATCCCCAACCAAAACTGAATCGTCCAGTTCACAGAAAATACGAATAAATACTCTTGATTCGTCAGGGGATCAAATAATCGATCTTACAGAAAGTAGGTAACATCAAGTTATTTAATTTCAAAATTTTTGTGTAAAAATGATATTTTTAGTATCTTCGAGTAGCAGTGATACAATTATTTATGAGTATAACCGGGATTCAGGATTCGATTCGTTCACCCTTGAAAAAAACACTGTTACTGTTTTGCCAGAAGAAAATCTCAATCAATGTGGTGAGTTTTGTTTTCTTTTTGGTTCAACTTGATTATTACTCCAGGAAATTTCCAGACCCCAATAAAGTGGATAATATTCAATTATCTGATGATCCATTAAGTCCTCATACAAAATGTTTAAATTGGATCAGCGGTCCTGAGCCTGATAAAAATTCAAATAACGCACCAGAAGCTACAAAAATGTTTCTTAATAAGCAAAAAGATTTGGACAATATTCCAGAAAGTTCCAATGATATATTAACGACACCTGTCAGTTTATCAGATGAATCTATCCAACCACAAGTTACCAAAGATCAGCCAAAAATTTGCATTATAGATGTTCAAAAAAGAACAACAAATAATGTCTATTTATCAAACAAATCCACTAAAAATCATCATCAGCCAAAAATGTCCACTACAGATGTCCAAAAAGCAACAACAAATAGTGTCAATTTATCAAATAAATCTGCCAAACAGCATGAAATATTCACTGCAGAGCCAGAAATTTCCATCAAAGATGTTCCAGAAACAACAACAAATAGTGTCAAATCACTCAAAAAATCCATAAAAAATCAGCACCAGCAAGAAATCTTCATTACAGAGCCAAAAATTTCCATTACAACAACAACAAATACTAGCCAAAAGGTTTCAAATAAATCAACAAAGATTGTGGGTGCTACTAACAACCCAATATCATTACCGATAAATTCAAGTCCCAATACAAAATTAAGAAAACAAACTATAGTTGGGAAACAGTTACTTATCCATCCTGATCAAAATCAACCTCAAGTATCCTTGAAAAATACACATACAAAATATAGACAATCTACCTTATCTGGGAGAAATAATTCTATTGAATCGACGATCTCAAATAAAAAAATCAATAAAGATCAAATAAGCAGTGAAATTTCTACTATTTCAGACATTGAAAACATAGATCAAGGCAAAAAAAGAATTGTACAAGCAATAAAAGACTTATTCAACAACTTTACATCTGTAAAATCTTTGAAAAATTTACTTAGTCCAGAGGAAAGCCATCTTATGCACAAATTTGAAACAATGAACGAAAATCAACAATACATTATCATCAAAATGTACACTAGAAAAAAAATCTGGTATAATGTGTCGAAATTTTGCGAAATGGTGCATATAGAATTCATTGAGGAAGATTTCCGTAGTTTATGCAAACAAGAGTTTTTGGAATACTTCAAACCTGATCCAGAAAACATTGAGGAAAATCTTGAACAATTAGAACTAGCAAAAATTAAAAAAATCGTAACTGACTTGAACATTTCTAGTACAGATAAAACAAAGAAACATATGATCAAGAGTATTTTAAAAAAATGTAATACTCAAATGACATTAACTAAAAAGACTTTTAAAGATGTTTTAATGGAGAAAATTACAAAAACATTTGGAGAAGTAATAAGAATAAAACATAACATAATTGAAGCTTTTAATCATTTTTGTTTACTTGCAATTTTCACTAATTCAGCCTTTGAAGACATTCAAGATTATTTGAGATATAATAATACAATCTTGCCTGAAGTGCCACTAGCAGAAGATTTCCCTATATTTTATTCAAGAGAGAAATTTTTGGAATACGCTAATGCCATACAGCTAAAAAAACAACTAGAAAATATTATTGCAACTCCTAGTTCAGACCAGAAACTGACAGCCATAAATGAACTAGCCAAACAAGCTTATAATTGTTTGAATAATATAGGCGATTATGATGATCATGAAAATGATCCACATTTGAATCGATATACAGCTGCACATGTGTACAGGAAATTATTGTCCAGTTGCTGTGATAAACTTTTCGCCAAAAAAAATGAATTTTCTTCTCAAGTGAAACAGTGGCTGGAGTTTTTAATAATCAAATTTCCTTCTTCCAGGAGATTAGGCAAATGGTATTATACACTTATAGGGCTACATATAAGGCACTTGCAAACGATTGATCATGATACAGCTGCTAGGCTTTTGATTGAGGTTTTATCCCAGAAGACATTTTGTTTGGGTGAAAGAACTAAATATGAACTAGAACTTTTAGGAGATTCACTTAAAAACAATAAGACACATCAGATTATTCAAGATTCTAAGAACAAAATAGCTGAATTGATTCCAAGTTTAATTGATATAAGTTCTATACCAGTAAAAAGATTTAGTTCCAAAGCTATTCCTTCAACTAGCACTGGTAGGAAAAGGATGTATACTTTCAAAAGCGATGACGGAGTTACTATATTAAATGTTGAAACTCTAGCTTTAATAGAATATAAAAAGGATGGTTATATTGCTGGAGATCATTCAGAAGGAGCTCACATCCACCAACTTTTAATGCTTTATTTTTGGGACATATTTTATAACGTGGAAGAACTGGTTGAATGTGTTTTTATCAGCAAACTTCAAAACGCACCTCTGGATATTTTCAGTGAATATTTTTATGATAATCGAAAAGAGTCTATTGATAAGCGTTTAAAGGAAATCGATTGTGAGTGGCCTCAAGAGAAACTTTTGGAGTTTGGGATTACAAATTGGGAAGAGCATTCGCATAAATGGGCTGTTTTTGGAGCAATAAATTCGGTGCTTCTTGAGAAGGAAATGGTTAAGGATTTAGTTGAGGTTATTGGAAGGAAGGTGTTGGCCAAGATATTTCAAAGGTAAGTTTGCACAATAATAATTATTTATAGTGATAGGGTACTTGCACTAGAAAGCTTAAGTTTTTAGTGATTGTTATCCTAGTAGAGGACTACAATCCCTGAAAATTTCAGCTCATTTGCACTTATAGTTCCTGAGATAAAAAAAACGCTTTCAAAAGCTCGTAACCCCATTCACATGTACATATTCTTTTACTATTGTCAAGGGATTGTCAGTATTGTCGACGGGTATTGTGAGTACTGTAGAGCAACTGTTAAGTATTTTCGACGAATTTATGGAATTGTCAGTTCTGTAGAGCTATTTTGAAAGTATTGCAAGTTATTTTAGGTATTGCGACAATTGCTATGAAATTACATGATATTTTCCTTTGTATTTTTATAATCCTGCCTGGAGGTATTGTTTAGATATTGTAGGTTCTGTGAAATGGTTTTAACCCCTTAAACCACCCTCAAAGTAATTTGCAAGTCAAGTGAGTTTCCCTAAACGGTGTATATTGATACTGCCTATAACTTCCAGTACTATTCGTACCCCAGACTAGGGTGGAAATATCAATATTTTCAGAAAAAACCCTTTTTCGATGAATCGCAATTATTAGTTTTACCCCCTCTAACCACCCTCAAAGTAATTTGCAAGTCAACTGAGGTTCCCTAGGCCTATGATTTAGATTTTGGAAAACTTTGGAAGGGCATAACTTTTTTTCTATTATAGATAGAAAGCTGAAATTTTCACTGAATCTTATCTCAATAAAGGGGCTACAATCCCTGCTCATTTGCACTTATAGTTCCTGAGATAAAATCGTGTTAAGCAAATTGAGGTGATTTATCAATTTTTCAATTTTTCTGAGTGCCTTTTTTCATGGATTTCGGTTTCAAATCTGAGAATAATTTAGTGTTTAGAGTTTGGGGTATGTTGATTGACCATTAGGATACAAAATCTCGACAAAAAAAAAATTGAAATTTCATCGTTTTAGTAAGAAGGTACCTTACGATTTAGATTTTGGAAAACTTTGAAAGGTCATAACTTTTTTTCTATTATAGATAGAAAGCTGAAACTTTCACTGAATTTTATCCCAATCGAGGAACTACAATCCCTGAAAATTTCAGCTCATTTGCACTTATAGTTCCTGAGATAAAATCGTGTTAAGCAAATTGGGGTGATTTATCAATTTTTCAATTTTTCTGAGTGCCTTTTTTCATAGATTTCGGCTTCAAATCTGAGAATAATTTAGTGTATAGAGTTTGGGGTATGTTGATTGACCATTAGGATACAAAATCTCGACAAAAAAAAAAATTGAAATTTCATCGTTTTAGTAAGAAGGTACCTACCTTATGATTTAGATTTTGAAAAACTTTGAAAGGTCATAACTTTTTTTCTATTATAGATAGAAAGCTGAAACTTTCACTGAATTTTATCCCAATCGAGGAACTACAATCCCTGAAAATTTCAGCTCATTTGTACTTATAGTTCCTGAGATAAAATCATGTTAAGCAAATTGGGGTGATTTATCAATTTTTCAATTTTTCTGAGTGCCTTTTTTCATAGATTTCGGTTTCAAATCTGAGAATAATTTAGTGTATAGAGTTTGGGGTATGTTGATTGACCATTAGGATACAAAATCGCGACAAAAAAAAATTTGAAATTTCATCATTTTAGTAAGAAGGTACCTACCTTATGATTTAGATTTTGAAAAACTTTGAAAGGTCATAACTTTTTTTCTATTATAGATAGAAAGCTGAAACTTTCACTGAATTTTATCCCAATCGAGGAACTACAATCCCTGAAAATTTCAGCTCATTTGTACTTATAGTTCCTGAGATAAAATCATGTTAAGCAAATTGGGGTGATTTATCAATTTTTCAATTTTTCTGAGTGCCTTTTTTCATAGAATTCGGTTTCAAATCTGAGAATAATTTAGTGTATAGAGTTTGGGGTATGTTGATTGACCATTAGGATACAAAATCTCGACAAAAAAAAAAATTGAAATTTCATCATTTTAGTAAGAAGGTACCTACCTTATGATTTAGATTTTGAAAAACTTTGAAAGGTCATAACTTTTTTTCTATTATAGATAGAAAGCTGAAACTTTCACTGAATTTTATCCCAATCGAGGAACTACAATCCCTGAAAATTTCAGCTCATTTGTACTTATAGTTCCTGAGATAAAATCATGTTAAGCAAATTGGGGTGATTTATCAATTTTTCAATTTTTCTGAGTGCCTTTTTTCATAGATTTCGGTTTCAAACCTGAGAATAATTTAGTGTATAGAGTTTGGGGTATGTTGATTGACCATTAGGATACAAAATCTCGACAAAAAAAAAATTGAAATTTCATCATTTTAGTAAGAAGGTACCTACCTTATGATTTAGATTTTGAAAAACTTTGAAAGGTCATAACTTTTTTTCTATTATAGATAGAAAGCTGAAACTTTCACTGAATTTTATCCCAATCGAGGAACTACAATCCCTGAAAATTTCAGCTCATTTGTACTTATAGTTCCTGAGATAAAATCATGTTAAGCAAATTGGGGTGATTTATCAATTTTTCAATTTTTCTGAGTGCCTTTTTTCATAGATTTCGGTTTCAAATCTGAGAATAATTTAGTGTATAGAGTTTGGGGTATGTTGATTGACCATTAGGATACAAAATCGCGACAAAAAAAAATTTGAAATTTCATCATTTTAGTAAGAAGGTACCTACCTTATGATTTAGATTTTGAAAAACTTTGAAAGGTCATAACTTTTTTTCTATTATAGATAGAAAGCTGAAACTTTCACTGAATTTTATCCCAATCGAGGAACTACAATCCCTGAAAATTTCAGCTCATTTGTACTTATAGTTCCTGAGATAAAATCATGTTAAGCAAATTGGGGTGATTTATCAATTTTTCAATTTTTCTGAGTGCCTTTTTTCATAGATTTCGGTTTCAAACCTGAGAATAATTTAGTGTATAGAGTTTGGGGTATGTTGATTGACCATTAGGATACAAAATCTCGACAAAAAAAAAATTGAAATTTCATCATTTTAGTAAGAAGGTACCTACCTTATGATTTAGATTTTGAAAAACTTTGAAAGGTCATAACTTTTTTTCTATTATAGATAGAAAGCTGAAACTTTCACTGAATTTTATCCCAATCGAGGAACTACAATCCCTGAAAATTTCAGCTCATTTGTACTTATAGTTCCTGAGATAAAATCATGTTAAGCAAATTGGGGTGATTTATCAATTTTTCAATTTTTCTGAGTGCCTTTTTTCATAGATTTCGGTTTCAAATCTGAGAATAATTTAGTGTATAGAGTTTGGGGTATGTTGATTGACCATTAGGATACAAAATCGCGACAAAAAAAAATTTGAAATTTCATCATTTTAGTAAGAAGGTACCTACCTTATGATTTAGATTTTGAAAAACTTTGAAAGGTCATAACTTTTTTTCTATTATAGATAGAAAGCTGAAACTTTCACTGAATTTTATCCCAATCGAGGAACTACAATCCCTGAAAATTTCAGCTCATTTGTACTTATAGTTCCTGAGATAAAATCATGTTAAGCAAATTGGGGTGATTTATCAATTTTTCAATTTTTCTGAGTGCCTTTTTTCATAGATTTCGGTTTCAAATCTGAGAATAATTTAGTGTATAGAGTTTGGGGTATGTTGATTGACCATTAGGATACAAAATCGCGACAAAAAAAAATTTGAAATTTCATCATTTTAGTAAGAAGGTACCTACCTTATGATTTAGATTTTGAAAAACTTTGAAAGGTCATAACTTTTTTTCTATTATAGATAGAAAGCTGAAACTTTCACTGAATTTTATCCCAATCGAGGAACTACAATCCCTGAAAATTTCAGCTCATTTGTACTTATAGTTCCTGAGATAAAATCATGTTAAGCAAATTGGGGTGATTTATCAATTTTTCAATTTTTCTGAGTGCCTTTTTTCATAGATTTCGGTTTCAAACCTGAGAATAATTTAGTGTATAGAGTTTGGGGTATGTTGATTGACCATTAGGATACAAAATCTCGACAAAAAAAAAATTGAAATTTCATCATTTTAGTAAGAAGGTACCTACCTTATGATTTAGATTTTGAAAAACTTTGAAAGGTCATAACTTTTTTTCTATTATAGATAGAAAGCTGAAACTTTCACTGAATTTTATCCCAATCGAGGAACTACAATCCCTGAAAATTTCAGCTCATTTGTACTTATAGTTCCTGAGATAAAATCATGTTAAGCAAATTGGGGTGATTTATCAATTTTTCAATTTTTCTGAGTGCCTTTTTTCATAGATTTCGGTTTCAAATCTGAGAATAATTTAGTGTATAGAGTTTGGGGTATGTTGATTGACCATTAGGATACAAAATCGCGACAAAAAAAAATTTGAAATTTCATCATTTTAGTAAGAAGGTACCTACCTTATGATTTAGATTTTGAAAAACTTTGAAAGGTCATAACTTTTTTTTCTATTATAGATAGAAAGCTGAAACTTTCACTGAATTTTATCCCAATCGAGGAACTACAATCCCTGAAAATTTCAGCTCATTTGTACTTATAGTTCCTGAGATAAAATCATGTTAAGCAAATTGGGGTGATTTATCATTTTTCAATTTTTCTGAGTGCCTTTTTTCATAGATTTCGGTTTCAAATCTGAGAATAATTTAGTGTATAGAGTTTGGGGTATGTTGATTGACCATTAGGATACAAAATCGCGACAAAAAAAAATTTGAAATTTCATCATTTTAGTAAGAAGGTACCTACCTTATGATTTAGATTTTGAAAAACTTTGAAAGGTCATAACTTTTTTTCTATTATAGATAGAAAGCTGAAACTTTCACTGAATTTTATCCCAATCGAGGAACTACAATCCCTGAAAATTTCAGCTCATTTGTACTTATAGTTCCTGAGATAAAATCATGTTAAGCAAATTGGGGTGATTTATCAATTTTTCAATTTTTCTGAGTGCCTTTTTTCATAGATTTCGGTTTCAAATCTGAGAATAATTTA